TTTTTTAAATCTAAAGAAAAAAAAAAAATCTTGTTTCTTGCTTAAATTTACTTTGTAGTCCTCCCAGGTCTGCTTTCCATCCCCAGTTGCAAGGCAGCAGCCCTTAATCCTTTTGTATGTCGTTAACATGTTTGTTAGTTTTATTAGAATTTTACCTCTGGATAACTTATACACTTTTTGTGTAAATGCAGCTTGAAATATTTTATAGAAAGCAGATTTGTTGCAGAAATACAGCTGTTGATAGGTTTTTGTTTGGTCCAGTAGCAGAAGTGTCATTTTGTGTTATTTCTGTTTAAAAAAAAAAAAAAAAAAAACTATATATATATATATATATATATATATATATATATATATATATATATATATATATATATATATATATATATATATATATATATATATATATATATATATATATATATATATATATATATATATATATATATATATATATATATATATATATATATATATATATATATATATATATATATATATATATATATATATATATATATATATATATATATATATATATATATATATATATATATATATATATATATATATATATATATATATATATATATATATATATATATATATATATATATATATATATATATATATATATATATATATATATATATATATATATATATATATATATATATATATATATATATATATATATATATATATATATATATATATATATATATATATATATATATATATATATATATATATATATATATATATATATATATATATATATATATATATATATATATATATATATATATATATATATATATATATATATATATATATATATATATATATATATATATATATATATATATATATATATATATATATATATATATATATATATATATATATATATATATATATATATATATATATATATATATATATTGGTGATTGTGAATTGAAGCCAAATTAAAATCTGTTACTCTCCTGTATTCTTAAGACAAATAAAAGTCTTATAGGTTTGAAATAACGCTCCTTATAGGAAGAAATGACACTCCGAACCTTACATATGATTATTAACTCCATTATTTGATTAAACTATGAAAAGAGTAATCAGCTTTTTGGTGCAGTTATAGCTTCATTAGTTGTCTGTTAAAATATTGATCCTTTAAATTGGACCTATTTTGTCCCCTTTTTACAACATTATAAAACAAGTCTCTGAGGTCACTAGGGTGTGTATGTAAAGTTTCAGCTTAAAATGCTGCTCAAATATTTGTTGATAACTTTTTGAAACTGCCCCTTTTAATCTTTGATCTAAATTCCACTGTTTAGGTGACTGTCACTTTAAATTCTAATTGTGCTCTTTTTCAAAAGAGGGTGGAGCTATAAATGCCTATTCTTTAGCATAGTGTCGGATTCAAAACTATAATGGCGGATGGCTGCTTCTCACTCAGGACTGTCTATGATAATGAGGGAGAGATTGTCACTAATGGGTGGGGCTTTCCCCCTCTGTTAATATTTATAAAGGGAGAATGTCAATCAAAGTTTTTTGACAGACTCTCACTATCAAGTGTGATTTATAAAAAATAGAATGAATTAATATTTACTATTAGAAGCTTGCTAAATTCACATATATTGGCCACACAGCTGTTAAATTTTTGCATAATAGGCCCCCTTTCAGTTTGTGTAATACAGTGTGCATTTGTATCTATTATAGGATGTGTGAACCGAGTGTGTAATCCACGCATGGGAAATCTGGCAGTCGGACGTCCCATACAGACAGTCTCTCAGTGTGGCTCCACCTCCCCAGAACAATTCTGTATGTACAGACCGGACAGTTGTGTGCTAGATTGTGAGATATGTGATGCTTCAGTATCTCAGCATGCACACTCCCCTTCCTCCATGACTGACTCTCCTTTCAAGCAGCCACTGACCTGGTGGCAGTCGGCACCGGGGACTGCCATAGAGACTCTGCAGCTGGATCTGGAGGTGGAGTTTTACTTCACCCACCTCATTATCATTTTCATGTCGCCACGCCCTGCTGCCATGGCAATCGATCGCTCTCGGGACTTTGGCCAGACATGGAGCTTGCTGATGCTGTTTTCCCACAACTGCAGTGAAGTGTCCAGCTTGGAGGACGGACAACGCTGCACAGCGAAATACTCCTCCGCCGAGCCATGCACAAATGGGGAGGTGAGGCTGTGATGATAAAATGTGTACGTCAGATGCAAAATATTGTCAATTTTTCCATGAGGAGCATTCAAGTGAAAATTGCTGCCCTAATATCGTGGTGTCAGTTTCCATAGATCACTGTCCTTGCTCTTAATATAATGTCTGCAAGTTAAAGGTGCAGTATGTAAGTTTGACACCCAGTGGTTGAACTAAGTATTGCACAGCGGGTTTTAAACAAATGCAAGAGCAGGTTGCCAAATTGACGACAACAACAGGAGTGTGCCTGACCGCCGAGCCTATTGGCTGATTGAAACTGTGTTCTAAATAAAAGCAACGGCATGCAATAGAAGTAATATTTTACATATTAAAACACCCCTTGTCCTAAACAACACCTGAAATGTATATAATTGCTGAACAGCTGAACGTCAGAAAACTGACTATAATCACCTCAGGTACACCTCATGTTCTTTATTCAGTAGTAAATGCGAATAATGTGAGTTTAAATGCCATTTCACATGACATTTATTGCCATACTGCTGAAAGCTCACCTCACATCTTAAAAACAAAATAAACCATTTGAAATTGAAGTTCAGTCCAAGCCAAAACATATCAGTGATTTAGCATCTACATTTAATAATGTTAAAGAGGTTTAATATGTATTGATTAGATTATAAACCTTAGCATTTCGTTGGAGTGCAGTAAGTGCACAACTCTGTGCTTCTGAATGGCTGTATTTATATTTCTGTCGTGTTTTGTCTGCTGCAAACAGCCAGATTGCTTATCACTGCAAATCTTGTCACGTAGCATGTTTGGACACAGGGTTACAATTTAAACTGCTCCCCTAATGTTTACTCTCCTCATATTATTTATATTATTTACTAATTAATAACCAGCTCATGTGGAACTTTGAATCTGCGTCTCATTTCGGAATCTGCTACTGTCCACCAGAGGTCACATTTCAGTCGCAGACGAATACTTTGAGAGCCTTTCTGACTGAATGAATAAAATATACTGTTTTTCACAAAGGCAAACCCGGGTCCTAAACTATAATTGGCTAAAGTGGCATTGGGTGGGTCAAAAGAACTGAAACGAGGACAGCAGATCCGGCACGTAACGCACATTTTCAAAGCAGAATATCTGACTTCAGCACTGTTTTTCAGATAAACAAGAATGTTCACTTGGCATGTTTCTTAAATATCTGCAAATATATTTTTATGTGTTAGAAGAGTTAAAAAAAACTTACCTTTAACTAAAATGGTAATTAAAATACCTGTATAAAAGTAGATAATGGATAGATGAAAACTATGTAGACATCAGGGGCCTGTTTCAGTAAGGAGGTTCAAACAACTCAGAGTTTAAACGTGAACTCTGAGTTGATTTACCGAGAGATTAAAAACTCAGAGTTTTCGGTTTCAGAACAGCTGATCTGAGTTGGGTCAATCAACTTCGAGTAGACCAACTTAGAGTTAAGCGCGCACACCGTGACTTTAAAAAGGCATTATCAATGGAGCGCAGACATTACGAGTGACTATGGCAATATCTTATAAAAGAGATCACCATTTCTTTCCCCAGCTGAACTTGATGTTCTCATGCAAAGTTATAGCAAATATGAGCGTATATATTTGAAAAGAAGCAACCATCAGTGAAGAAGAGACAGATAGCGTGGAAAACAGCTGCTCAAGTTAAGGCCTAATTTCACTTTTTAAGTATTTAAATATTTAAGTATAATAAAATAAGTAATGCAATTTGTGACGTTTATATTTTTTTCTAAACTTTTTTATACATTTATTAGTTTTAAATGATTTAACAGTGCACTTGTGTGTCTGCCTTTTTTATTGATCAAGTGATAGAGGTTAATACAACATTTAGAAGGTAGCAGTACTAAAAATTAGATTAATTTTTAGAAAGAATAATAATCCCATTAATCTAGTTAAAGTGCATGTCGAAGGTGAATTTAATTTAATTATTTATTAAAAAAAGATAAGCCATTCTCGTACAGTTCTTCTGTGTGTGACTAAAATGTAGGCAATAGCTATGTTTCCATCCAAATATATTAAATAAATGTATGTGCAAAACTGGAATATTGCATAAAAGATGCGAATAAAATTCCATCCAACGAGTCAAAGAGAAAAAATCGTCACTTCCTGATTAAACTGGCACCAAATATCGACAGTAAAAACAGAATTTACTGTGGTAGAAGAAGCTGCGTCAATTAATTCTTTATTTAGCCTAATTAATGTACTTGCGCCTCGATGTCAAAAGCAATGACTGTAAAAGGTCAAAAGACAATGTTGAAACACAATGAACACGTGGGGGCGTCTAAAGCCATGCGACGCGGAGACTCTTGACACGCACCAGACGTTCGGAGGTAATAAATAATACACTAATACTGAAACAGTTAAGGCATTTTAGAATGACTAAAACAATATTTAAGACGTGTTACAGTGTGCTCAGCCTGCTGGTTTGTTCATTTACACACATTTTCATTATCATATGATCATGATCTTTTTTTTAATGAACATACTGTAATTTGTTCAGTAAAAGTGTTTCCATCGTAGTTTATGCGCACATTTTCTATCGAATAAAAGTTTATCCTACTCAGTTATGCGCGTTTTTTATGCATATTTTAAAAAGTTATGTGCATCATGACGTTTCTATCAATCGTTTTTATGCACGTATCCAAAATGAGCATTAAAAAAGGTGGGTGGAAATGTAAGGCTCAGGTGAGAAATACCGCTTCATCTTAAAAAAAAGGGGAGGAGACCGACAGAAACTCTGAGTTTAGAGAATAAAACCTGCTTCTGACCAGGTTAGATTCACAGAGTAAGTTACCACAGTAACTGACTCTGAGTTAAAGTTACCTCTCTTTTAGAAACAGGCTTGACTTACCCTGCTTTCTCGAGTTTAACAAACCTGCCATTTTGAAACGGAAAACCCAGAGTTTCTCTCATTTCAGGGTTAAAATACTCTGAGTTTTCTGTTAACCTCCTTTCTGAAACAGGCCCCAGGTCTGCACAATACTGGAAAAATATGCAATGTTGTTGTGTGTTGCAATAACAGTACTTCCTATGATTTAATTAGCAAAATGCTATTTTATCAGCAATTAAAAAAACATTTATGTAAAGATCATAGTAAAATAAGCAGCATATATATGTATATATATTTATACTTTTTGATCTAATTAAATAAAACAAAAAGGTAACACTTTACTTGTAGTGTTCATAAGAATTGTAGTCTTGAAACCTTTATAATTATGACATGAATATGAATGAGATTTTGTGCATGCTTATGACAACTCAAGTTAAGTGTCATTTGCTCATTTATGTCATTTAAAATGCTTAAATAACATTGTTTGTTATGATAACTTGGCATAAACAAATACATCACCACCTGTCTTCATCTTTGTCATGGCCACATGCCATTACCAATTCAACAAAACTTGTAAATCTGTCATAAACATGATTGTCATGAGGCCATTGTAATTGTGGAATGAATATTTTTCTGATCATGTTTTCAGTGGAATAAACCATATTTATTATTTAAATTTAACAGCGTCATTACTATTTCAGTCATATTTATGATAAATTCTGCAGTTGAGTTGTATCACTGCAGTTGATGTAAAAAAATATTAATGACGCTTATAAAATTCATGACATTTATAATGACTGAATTTTTATAACAGTTGTTATAAGCATGCATAAAATCTCGTTCACGTTGATGACGTGTCATGTCTTAGTTATAATAGTTTATTATAAAGTAATATCAGTAATGGTTTAATATAAAATCTTATGATCACCCTTCAAGTAAAGTGTTACCTAAAAAACTATGTCATGGTGAAAACATTTAAAACACTATGATCTAAATAAAAACAGAAAATTCAGATTGTTATTGGCTGTTGTCATTTTCCCCTTGTCTTGCGGTTACCGGAAACGCAAGGTCATGCGTCAAGTTTCGCAGGTCGCTGCAGTGCGAAGTCACATCACTTGACTGCGTGACACCAATCTAGGATTAAAACATCACCTCTCTGGGCAGAAATTTAAAACATGGAGCAATCGCTCTCTTTTTTTAATGTCAAATAATCCTGTTAAATCCCTCCCCTTTTCGTAGCGCCGCACGACAGAATTTCGCATTATTAAACTCTAATGTGATCGCAGCTTTAGTGTTTATTTTCAGCTCTAGAGCTGCGTCCCAAATCGCATACTTATGCACTATTCTACGCCATTTTGTAGTATAAATAGTGTAAGTAGTGTGTTCACACTGAAAACTCTTAAAATAATAAGTGCACTTTAATTACCCGGATGATGCACTCATTCAGCCGCTAAAATGAAGTGTGTAATGATGGACACTTCACGCACTCAACGACCGCAGGTTTGCTTACGTAGAGGAACAGGCGGAGCTATCGGACGCACATGTTGAATAACTTTATTTATTTTGGATGGAGAAAGCAAAATTCTCCTACGAGAGTGATTATATCGCCTCCCGATGGTGAATGCGGCAATACTCACGATAGGTATTATTTGATAATTCGGTCGTTTATTTCACTGATTTGGCAACCGTCAAACGTCATCAGGGAAACGGTTTGAATTTCCGTTTAGTAAAAAAACATTAGTGTGCCATTTGGGACGACACTACATACATGTACTATCCTGTTGAGTGTGTAAGTGCATAAGTACATAGTGCATGAGTGCATAGTGTATAGTGTGCCATTTGGGACGCAGCTTAAGTTAATCTGGTCAGATTTACAACCCATGCATGTTGCACACAAAAGCTTGTCACATACAATTGATTTAATTTATTGCACTTTTCTGCTATTATGGTCACGTTCGCTCTTTACAAATGCAAGAAACTCAGAGTCAGGAATATTCAAAAGAACATGTACTTTTAAACAAGACACTCACTGGAACATCAAAACGCAGGAATCAAATGCTGTAGACAATATAATACCGGACCAAGGACTGAGCAAAACAAAGGAGTACAAATACACAAGACATAATTATCTGAATACAAAACAAGGGTGAGACACAGGTGGAAATGCTTAACACTAACACACAGCGGGAAAACAGAACAAAGGAATAACAAGGCGAAAACACAACAGAGACACAAGACTGTGACAATTATGGATATTGCATATACTAGTATATTGTGCAATACTAATAGATATATTTAAAAATGTACTTCATATAACAAAAAAACACTAGAAAATGATTCAAACTTTACATAAAATCAAACTTTAAGCTGATTCTTAAAATAAATGAAGTAGTATGAATCTTAATAAAATGAAATAGAAAACAATGAATGTGCTTTTCATGTATATTGTGTGTGTGAGCAGGTGATTTACCGTGCACTGTCACCTTATGAGAGGCTGGATCCATACAGCACTGATGCCCGCTCACTGCTGGGCGTCACTAATGTCAGGATTCGTCTGCTTCAGCCACACTCCTGCCCCTGTCCGATTGCTGATGCCAATGCAGCAACTCCCCGATATGCCATCTCTGACCTCATTTTAAAAGGAGGCTGCCTGTGCCATGGACATGCAGACCAGTGTGTGCCCACTGGAGGCAAACACAACTCAAAAACATTTGGAAAACACGTGGTAAGTGCGTTGTGTTTGGGGTTGTATATACTGGCGAACTGTAAGCTAACAGCGGGCCTTTTTATATATATGTGTGTGTTTGTTTGTTTGCTTATTAATAACATCTAGAAGATTTTTTTAACAAATGTTTCATATTATCTTAATAATGTCTTAATGTTGCTGACTATTTTGTTGAGCTCAAACTCGGATATCAAGGGTCATATATCTAGGTTACAGAGAGTACAAACTGTCAGTCTATGCAGATGACCTGCTGTCATTTATTACAGATCCTCAAAATTCTCTCCCTCACATTATGACTGCTCTTGAGCGTTTTAGTTTTATTTCAGGGTATAAACTCAGCCAGTTACTTCTCATAAATCAAATAGCCAAAAATACTTTTTCTCACTAACCTTTTGCAGTAGCCTCTGATAAATTTACATATTTAAAAATAGTCTAAACTCCCCACTTTTTTGATTGGTAGGTTCACTGTAATTAAATTTTTTATTTTTAATATTTATTTCAAACTATACCTATTTATATTAATAAATCGTATTTTTCTTATTTAAATAAGATCATTTCATCTAATCTTTGGAATAAAAAGCCTCCCAGAATACGAAACCCTAAAGACGTCCTGAGATAAATTTTCCATTGTGTTTTTGTTTTTTTTAATTAGTTGTCAAGAAAACATTTCCAATTTTCATTTGACCTATATATTTTGTTATATCATCTTTGTTTGAACAAATAAATTTTTGTTTTGTTTAACAATATTTATAAAAAAAAAAAGTTGCACCCTACCGAAATATGTTTGACTTGATGTTCCTCAAAAAAAAAAAAGAAATCCATGGGATCTGAAACATAATGGATGTAAATAATGAGGGGTCTTCATTCATTTATTTATTCATTTTCCTTTGGCTTAGTCTCTACCACAGCGGAATGAACCGCCAACTATTCCTTTATATGTTTTACACAGCAGATGCCCTTCCAGCTGCAACCCAGTACTAAGAAACACACTCATTCACACACATACACTATGGTCAATTTAGCTTATTTAATTCATTTATACTGGGGTGCATTTTCCAAACAATGACATAACTCATGGCTGAACTACCATACTACGATGTATCCTTTGGGAAAAGAACGCTGTAGTGATGAGTTTTTCCCAAAACCTGTAGTCGCAGATCTGTTAGTTATAACTTAAAACGCCCATAATGAGGCTCTAAACAGGGTGGAGTAACAACTTCTTTAGAGGATAAAAAACCCATAATTTTTTGTGCAAATAAATATTTTTTTACACAATCATACATTTTTAAAATCCAATATTAGTTTAAGTATAAACATGCACTTGTTTTACAGATTAATTTAAGTATATATAGACTACACATATAGGACCTGTTTATGTTTCCTTTACAAATATTATTGAGAATATTATTGAGAATATTTCATATAAAATCAGTAAGCTAACACATATTCTAATCTCATAAATAAACCGTTATTGGTTGTAGGCCTAATTTACATTAAGCTTATTTTTTTAAGACATTTTTTTAAAATCCTATTTAATATAATTATTATTATTATTGTTATTATTATTATTATTATTATTTAAATACAATATTGTTTATTTTTTTATTATTTTTTTTTTTAAAGTCTACTTTTACATTTAAAACATTTAAACTACTGCAGAAATGTACTAACCAACAGGCCAGTGTCATATAAAGTACAGATACATTTCTTAATAAATAACCTACTATAAATTAAAACTGTTATTGAATGCTGTATATTGTTTCACAAGCTTTGAAGACGTAACATAAATTCCACTTTTAAATAATAGATGACCTGTAGGTTTCGTCATGAGCCACGGCTGTGTTCAAAATGGCAAAAATGTTTTTAAAGTGCACCACGAAGGGAATGCATTTGTCAATATGAAGATCACTAAAACTGAACTGTAAAAAATACTTTGAAAGCAAATTACACCTAAGAGTGATGACTTTAATGCTTTAAAAAATAATAATAAGTAAATAAATGTTGCAACATTCTAAATGAATAGGATATAGGGGGGATAATGGGGAATAGAACACAACCAGGAACTATGCGTCTAACTACAGCTCTAGAGGTGTAGTTGTAAGCTTACACGTTTGCGAATGTTGGTTGGAACGACAGATTCAACAAATTATCTTTGTTACGACTGAACTTGCCACCTTAGTTAGCTAATGATGGTTTATGAAAACAAACCCCTGCATGTCTTTGGACTGTGGGGGAAACCGGAGCACTCGGAGAAAACCCACACGAACACTGAGAAAACATGCAAACTCACACAGATATGCCAACTGGCCCAGCCGTGACTCAAACCAGCGACCTTCTTGCTGTGAGGCGACAGTGTTAACCACTGAGCCACTGTGCTGCCCCAAATGAGGGATCTTGCAGGCCAATAACAGCAACAGCAACGTTACAATACTGCCCAACAATTTTGCATTATGTACAGTTACCCACATTCCCAGAAAGCATGTTTCCCGTATGATTACATAAACGGCCTCCAGTTTCTCTCATTCTCTTTGGCCCTCTCACTCTCACCGTCTTTGTTTCAGATTATATAAGCCATGCTTTTTACTGTTCATTTGGCTCCATCTCTGTGGAGAGATAAAACTGAGATATCAACTGAAGGATAAAAAGACAAAGTGAAACAGGAAAACAGCAGAGGGAGGAATGGTGATAAGCACCAGATGAAAACGAGGGTCTGCGTTACTTGCCCCTTTTCCTAATTGAGTTGTTGTTTGCATGCTGTGATCAGACAATAACAGCAATTAGTCTAACTCACTCAAACACACACACACATGTACACACATCAGCACGCCACTCTCTTATCAAAGGTCAGACCGTTTGATCTGTCAGGCTAGACAAAACACACATCCCGTGCCAATCGACATACACGCCACTCACTTCCCACCTAGACATGTTGACAGAAACATTCAAGTTCAAAACTTTTTTTGTGTGTTTTTAGTTGTTTTAATCACAGGATCTTGCAGGCCATAACAGTATCTTATTGTAAAGAGTTTAATCAAGGCTCATTCTGAAAACATACCACTATATGCATTTCTGGAGAGCGCAAAATACATCCCAGGAGCTACGTATTTTTTGCAGTTTTTCTCTCGCCAGCACCATTCGTGCCTGCTCTTCTCACGTAAATCCACCAGAGGCCGCTGTTGGCTGACTGACTGGCTAATCCCCAACCACTACCTTTCCTAAACCCAACCGATAGCGTTTTAAAGAGCACCAGCGCCCACCCACTTCACTGAACCCAACTGACAGTGTTTTCAAAAGCAATACAGAAAAACAAAAGCTTTCATGGCCGCCTGATTTTTACCACTTTTTCAGATTTCACCACATTCTCACCCTGTTATTTACTTGTTTATTTTATTTTTTTGAGTTTTGTTTTTGTCCTACCTGCTTTCTGGAATCGTTCTTCGCCGGACTCGAACCCCGTCGTCAAGGTCAATTCCTCTCTGCGTCTTAGATACTTCGACATATGCCGCAAGCCACTGGACAAACTGGTTACATCGAAGAAGTTGTCTTTAGGGAGGGTTGCGGTCAGCTGGTAAGCGCAAAAATAAACGATGTCATACTGCCCCATATCGTTCATTTTAAAGATGAAATGCAGCCATGCGTTCTACATAATTTGCGCTCTCCAGAAATGTATATATTAGTACATTTTCAGGATGAGCCTATGTTGAAAGCATAGTGTTAAACCATATTATCTAGAACAATATAATTTCCAAATCATTATTTTACTGCCTTTTTTCAATGGTTGTTTTTTTAATTCTTGAATAATATTTTTATAACAATATCTTCCAGGCCATAGCAATACAGTAATTTTGTCGAAAAAATTTTTATATAGCTGAAAATCATGATTGGTTTTCTTGTTGTCTGAATTGGTCAGTTAAGTAATATGATCTTATTGTGAAGGCATAATAGCCTATTGGTTAGCACGCTGACATCTGGTGCAGTAGCGCCCCGAGTTCGAATGCTGGCTGGCTCAAGGATATTTCCCGTTCCTACCCTTTCTCTCTCTCTCGCACTTCGCTTCCTGCCTAAAATACTGTCCTTTCCACTAATACAGGCAAAAAAGCAAAAAAAAATAAAAAATCTTAAAAAATAAATAAATAAATAAATAAATAAATATATATATATATATATATATATATATATATATATATATATATATATATATATATATATATATATATATATATATATATATATATATATATATATATATATA